AGTCTGGATCCAATGTCGTCAAGTCTCAAGTCACAACTCTTTCTCTCTCTGTCGTGGTCTGAGAAGTCAGGTGGCGAGCGGGTGAGAAGAGAAGGTGGACTTAGAAGAGGAACAAGAAGAACTCTCCCACTCTCTGTGTCCAGTACTAACCTGTGAAGTTRGCGCCTTGATGCAGGTACCACGAAGATGGAGCTGGAGCGATGGCGCCACAGGTAAGTATCACTGGCCTCCGCCAGTCTCTCTCTCCCACTCTACGATCTACCACCTACCAGCGCCCAGCGCTGAAGACTACAGCTACAGCTATGGAGCCCAGCGCCGAAGAGTACAGCTAGCGCTAATACCACCTAGCGCTGAAGACTACTGCAACGCTCCTCCTGAGTGCTGCGGTCGATCTCCTGAAGACTACCTCGTGCCTACTGAACTACCTACCCGTGAAGTGCATGGGAACTTCCTATGTACTACCGGGTGTGGCTCCTGAGCCTGCCGAAGGGAGGCAGGGGCTGCAGCTGCAGCTCCTGCTCAAACTCGCGAGGAACAGGCTATTCTTGGCCTGTTCCGCATCCCTGTTTACGTGCCTGAGTCTTAGGGGCAGGTCGAAACAATGAGAACCTAAAAATGGCCCTCCGTTTCAGGCTGAAAACTCTGGGTCTGAAAACACCCAGAAATAGGCTGAAACGGGGTAGGGCCTGCAGGCCCTCGTTTTTCAGCTTCCAGGCTGAAACGAACGGGGCCTGTAAGCCCTACGTTTTAGGCTTTTAGGCTGAATGTTCGGGGCTACGCAGTATGCCACACTTCTTGTGTGAAGCGCCAGACCCCCTTCACACCAGATAACGATGATGATGATGTGTGTTCAGAGCTGCATTGCAATATTGATTGTTCGGATCATTCGTATCGAAGTCTTCCGCTGTGTTATCTTGTACTTTGTATTGAAGAGGTCGGTTCTTGTTCTGGTCTGCACGTTACAGTATCCAACACCATACCTGCATCAGCTGTACTTAATTGGGTGCCATAGCCGTGCTCCACACTGGCGACCTGTACAACAACAACAACAACAACAACAACACATACCTGTGTCAGCGGTACTTAACTGGGCGCCTTAGCCGCTCTCCACACTGGCAACCTGAAGAAGAAGAAGAAGAAGAAGAAGAAGAAGAAGAAGAAGAAGAAGACGAAGAAGAAGAAGAGGGGCAAACGCCATACCTGCGTCAGCCGTACTTAACTGGGCGCCATAGCCATGCACCACACAAGCGACCTGTACATCCACACTGGCGACCTGTACAACAACAACAACAACAACAACAACACATACCTGTTTCAGCGGTCCTTAACAGGGCGCCATAGCCGTGCTCCACACTGGCGACCAGAACAACAACAACAACAACAACAACAACAACAACCACAACCACAAGAAGAAGAAGAAGAAGAAGAGG